GTAAGCATCGATTCAATTCCTTAGGCTCTGGGAGCGACTCGTAGTCCGCTCCTTGATTTTGCCCATGCCGAAGAGGCGACTGGGTCTAATGTGCTGAGGAGGTCTTCGCTAGTTCAGTATTTTGGCCCTTAGGCTCTGGGAGCGACTCGTAGTCCACTCTCCTTGATCTTGCCCATGCCAAAGAGGCGATTGGGTCTTATGTGGTACCGAGGTCTTCGCTAGTTCGGTACTTCTGTGCTATGGCTGCACTGCATTAGCCTCGTGACGCCGATCACCCACTCCAACAAGAAGATACTAGGAGCTCGATCTACGGGGGCAGCACTACTGACTTTAGGTCGTCAGCTCGCATGGGAGCCTTGGAAGGCTCGACCAGCAAGGGCGTCCATGCAGTCTGTTGGCCGCCAACTCCTGCGGAAGCCACAAAGAGCTCATCCTTGTATAGGGGACCTCGCAAAGAGGACTAAAGAGGCTTTATCTGAGTTGAAATAAAATTGGTAGAGGTGCTTAATCTATTAGCTATCAACTTCCTGCATAGTCTTTGAGTTCATGAAAACTGGAAACTATAAAGTGAGAGCTTTAGTTTCTAAAAGTGAGGACTTAGTTTTCTGGAAGAAGAGGATTTAGCCTTTTAGAGGATGAGAACTTAGCTTTTTGTAGCGTTTCCCACAGACAACACCAAATGATGTAGCACAATCCAACTGTTCCCTAAAGGAGATGATCTGGGTACCGGCAACGACGGGCTCAATGAACCTGCAATAGATAAACCAGAGAACTCGGGGTTGTTTACCCGACGGGTCACTCCGGTGCTTAAGTTAGCACTTGGTTGCGAGCTAATAATAATATTAGATTGTGAGAGAGCTAGAGAGCAGAGATCACGTGTTTCCTCACCCCCGGGGGGTGAAGCCTTTATATACTGGAGTCCTTGTGGGTTCGGTGGAGTAGTTCCGGAATTCTCGCTGCGACAGGATCCGTTTCCATGTTAGCAAGGGATAAAGCTACCAATTGGTAAGGCTGACCATTTCCGCCTGAATCGGGGAGTGGGGAGATAATATTAGCCGTTACAAGGTATGATCCCGTAAGACGCGGAGTACAGTGACGAGATCCCCTGGGTTGTCATGCGGTGGTCAGCATTGCCTGAGCTCGTGCTCTTTAGATCCAACCTGATAAGAATGCCGAAGTGCCTTGGGACCGAGGTGGTCCCGATGTGACCTTGCACGGAGGTATACTCGTCCCGAGGTAGACTTGTCCCGAGGTGGACTTGTCCGAGGTGGTCCTGTCTCGAGGTGGTCTGGTTATCCAAGCTCGATCTGTTGTGGACTTGGCGTGTCAGGCTGAGTTGTTGTCCTACTAGTTAGGTTGCCAATTCAGCATAAAGGCTGGTTGCCAGGTCGGCGTGAGTGCCAGGTCGCCAGGTCGGCGTGAGTGCCAGGTCGCCAGGTCGACGCCTGTGCCAGGTCACCAATTCGGGACACCATCGTCTTGGCTAAGTTGTTGCCTAAGTGGTTCCGGGTGTCACCCAGTTGTTTTCGAGGTGCCATGTGTCACAATATCATTGGAGGGCCAAATCCGCCCTCATCATTTGCCCCCCACTGCCGAGCTGAAAGTAACTCGATGAAGGGAGTAGATTGATCCTTTTGGCCTACAATGAATAATTCGATGAGCTTGTAAGCGTCGATTCAATTCCTTAGGCTCTGGGAGCGACTCGTAGTCCGCTCCTTGATTTTGCCCATGCCGAAGAGGCGACTGGGTCTTATGTGGTGAGGAGGTCTTCGCTAGTTCGGTATTTTGGCCCTTAGGCTTTAGGATCGACTCGTAGTCCACTCTCCTTGATCTTGCCCATGCCGAAGAGGCGATTGGATCTTATGTGGTACCGAGGTCTTCGCTTGTTCGGTACTTTAGTGCTATGGCTGCACTGCATTAGCCTCGTGACGTCGGTCACCACTCCTACAAGAAGCTAGTAGGAGCTCGATCTACGGGGGCAGCACTACTGACTTTAGGTCGTCAGCTCGCACGGGAGCCTTGGAAGGCTCGACCACCAAGGGCGTCCATGCAGTCTGTTGGCCGCCAAATCCTGCGGAAGCCACAAAGAGCTCATCTTTGTAGAGGGGACCTCGCGAAGAGGACTAATGAGGCTTTATCCGAGTTGAAATAAAATTGGTAGAGGTGCTTAATCTGTTAGCTATCATGTTCCTGCATAGTCTTTGAGTTCATAAAAACTGGAAACTATAAAGCGAGAGCTTTAGTTTCTAAAAGTGAGGACTTAGCTTTCTGGAAGAAGAGGATTTAGCCTTTTAGATAATGAGAACTTAGCTTTTTGTTGCGTTTCCCGCAGACGACACCAAATGATGTAGCGCAATCCGACTGCTCCCTGTAGGAGATGATCTAGGTACCGGCAATGACGGGCTCGATGAACCTACAATAGATAAACCAGATAACCCGGGGTTGTTTACCTGGCAGGTAACTCTGATGCTTAAGTTAGCACTTGGTTGCGAGCTGATAATAATATTAGATTGTGAGAGACCTAGAGAGCAGAGATCACGTGTTTCTTCACCCCCGGGGGGTGAAGCCTTTATATACTGGAGTCCCCTTGCGGGTTCGGTGGAGTAGTTCCGGAATTCTCGCTGCGACAGGATCCGTTTCCATGTTAGCTAGGGATAAAGCTACCAACTGGTAAGGCTGACCATTTCTGCCTGAATCGGGGAGTGGGGAGATAATATTAGCCATTACAAGGTTTGATCCCGTAAGACGCGGAGTACGGTGATGAGATCCCCGAGGTTGTCATGCGGTGGTCAGCATTGCCTGAGCTCGTGCTCTTTAGATCCGACCTGATATGAATGCCAAAGTGCCTTGGGACCGAGGTGGTCCTGATGTGACCTTGGACCGTGGTATATTCGTCCCTAGGTAGACTTGTCCCGAGGTGGACTTGTCCGAGGTGGACTTGTCCCGAGGTGGTCCTGTCCCGAGGTGGTCTGGTTATCCGAGCTTGATCCGTTGCGGACTTGGCGTGTTAGACTGAGTTGTTGTCCTACTAGTTAAGTCTCTAGTTCGGCATAAAGGCTGGTCGCCAGGTCAGCGTCAGTGCGAGGTCGCCAGGTCGCTAGTTCGGGACACAATCATCTTAACTAAGTTGTTATTTAAGTGGTTACGGGTGTCACCCAATTATTCCATGGTGCCATGTGTCACAATATCATTGGAGGGCCAAATCCGCCCTCATCACAATGTAAACAAATAGGGCCTTCTGTCCTAAATACAGAACAAACCCAGATTTGTGCTGGGTCAATATTTTATCAGCCAAGAACAAAAGTTAAAAAAAAATGATACTATTTCTTCCTTCCACATTCTTTATCTCTCTTACTATATTATTTGGTTATAGTCTCTTATTATAATTGAAACTCATTTTTTAGAACCATGAAGTATCCAACCCAAATAAATAAATGATTAATTAAATAATACAAAGAATCTTTTAAAAATTAAATAGTACAAAGATAGAAATAATATTCTAGGTACAAAAATAAAACAAAAATTAAATAAATAATTTTAACATCAAGTGTTCAGTGCTCACAAAACCTAAGTGAGCAGCAGAGTTCCCCTTGTTCAATTACTTTGCAAGAATTTTTACCCAAAAAAATTAAATAAAAAAGAAAAGGGAACAAAGCTTTTGCAAGTGTTATTCCACATTATAAACAAAAGTTGCCCTGTGGGCTATGGCTTTGGCTTTGTGTCACAGCGATTTGAGGAGGCAGGAGGCTGGCATTGGAGTGAAAGCAGACTTGTTGCAGTGGCAGTGTCATGGAGAAATCTCTGGTAACGCTGGACAAGGGTACATGCTGCTCTTCTTGGAACTACTGTTGCCAGAGATTGGCGACGGGATCGTCAGATGGAATACTGGCGATTTTTGATTCTCCCGACCCAGATTCTTCGACCTTCACCTGCACGTCTAGATGTAAGGTTCGTGAAGTTCTTCTCTCTCCTTTCTCCTTTTCTTTTTCTCTTTATGTCCAAGTGGTAATCGATCCAAAACTTGAATAAAAGGTTCCGATGCTCTTGATAGAATAAGCTACTCCAAATCGGCGTAATTTATCCCTGTTGGTTCATACCGTGGAATATTTGTGTTAGTTTGAGGATTTTGGTATGAATATTATGAGTGTTAAAGCACCTCATTTGTTGAAATATTGATTAATTTGTCAGGTTTGTTTTGGACTTTTATGTTCTCAATTTGATGGAGTTGCTTAGATTGTTAGACAAAAATGATAGATACCACAAAGGGATGGATTCTGGTATGATGAACTTCATTGTTATGGAATACTGTTTATTTTGTTAAGCGTTAGATAGCTTCCATATAGCTGACATGGCATTTGCTACGTCTTCAGTTGCTGAATCTAGTTATTCGTTGTGTTTGATACAAGTCGTGTTTATAGACTGAGTGTGCATCCGGTGTTCTATTAAAAACCGATACGCACAAATATCTACTATTATTCGATAATGTTCTTATTCCACCTCTTCTTTTTATGAGAAGATCATTGATACGAAATGATTTCCAGCGAGAGTCATGGCCGGATGGCCCATAAAGCTATAAACAATAAACACTGCAGGGTATCGCAAAAGTTATTCTGCAAATTCATCCTCAAAATTTTGCTTCTCCAACAACCTTTTAATTTTTCCTGATATTTTGATTATGAACTGTCTTATAGGCACATGAAACAAGTATTACAAAAGTTACTTGGATTCCTCCAGAATATGGTGATGCAGTTGCATGCATTTGCTTAGATGGAAAATTATCACTATGGGAGGAAATTGAGGAAGGTACATAGTTGTTTTCTTCTGATATCAGAAGTTTCCAATTTGCAAGCTTTTAGCTCTTTTTTTTATCTGATAAGTTATAAACCATAACTTCGACATCCATAAATGTTGATATTTTCATTACAATAAAACATTATTGCTGAAAGTCTGTATGCCTGTCGATCAAGTGGCTTCCAAGATCAGTAAATGATCTTTTTCTTTTTTTTTTT